TGCGTGCTGTTTATATACATTTGAGTTTTTCATTTAATGCATGGGTTTTTGTATGCAAGTTAATTGAAAGTAATTGGGTTTTGAATATTTTGGGGGAGTATTTTTCAGCAAATACGCTGCTTATCTGTAGCTCTGCACACAGGTAGATGAGTGATTCGAGGATACTGTTGGAAGCAGTCGTAAAAGATCCAAGCTTCAGACTGCCATCTGCAAAAGCAGTTGGTTATTGATCGGGATGAAGATGTGGGGATGACAAGGAACACACCGTTGACTTCGGCACCAGTCAGGTCATCACAACACCAGATGTGTTAGGACAGCAGCAGCAATGCCATTGAACCTCTGGACCACAGTGAAGGTGACCTGTGAGGAGGTCAAATCTCGGCCGGCTCACCACAACACGACCCAGATTTGATGTTGTTTGTTGTTTAACACCGCACTCAGCAATATTCCAGCAATGTGATGGCGGTCTTGTTTGTTGTTTAACACCGCACTCAGCAATATTCCAGCAATGTGATGGCGGTCTTGTTTGTTGTTTAACACCGCACTCAGCAATATTCCAGCAATGTGATGGCGGTCTTGTTTGTTGTTTAACACCGCACTCAGCAATATTCCAGCAATGTGATGGCGGTCTTGTTTGTTGTTTAACACCGCACTCAGCAATATTCCAGCAATGTGATGGCGGTCTTGTTTGTTGTTTAACACCGCACTCAGCAATATTCCAGCAATGTGATGGCGGTCTTGTTTGTTGTTTAACACCGCACTCAGCAATATTCCAGCAATGTGATGGCGGTCTTGTTTGTTGTTTAACACTGCACTCAGCAATATTCCAGCAATGTGATGGCGGTCTTGTTTGTTGTTTAACACCGCACTCAGCAATATTCCAGCAATGTGATGGCGGTCTTGTTTGTTGTTTAACACCGCACTCAGCAATATTCCAGCAATGTGATGGCGGTCTTGTTTGTTGTTTAACACCGCACTCAGCAATATTCCAGCAATGTGATGGCGGTCTTGTTTGTTGTTTAACACCGCACTCAGCAATATTCCAGCAATGTGATGGCGGTCTTGATTGTTGTTTAACGCCACACTCAGCAATATTCCAGCTATGTGACGGCGGTCTTGATTGTTGTTTAACGCCACACTCAGCAATATTCAGCTATGTGACGGCGGTCTTGATTGTTGTTTAACGCCACACTCAGCAATATTCCAGCTATATGACGGCGGTCTGTAAATAATCCAGTCTGAAAAGACGATCCAGTGGTTGACATGATAGGGATCGATCTACGCAATTTGGATATGAGTGAGTGAGTGAGTGAGTGAGTGAGTGAGTGAGTGAGTGAGTGAGTGAGTTTTGATTAATGCTGCTTTCAACGTATATCACGGCATATCAAGACAATATGGCACATCGCGGCATATGTGAGTGAGTGAGTGAGTGAGTGAGTGAGTGAGTGAGTGAGTGAGTGAGTGAGTTTTGTTTCAACGCCACTTTGAACAGTATTCCAGTTATCTCCCAGAGTGTGGGCTTAATATGGGGTTTACTGGGTTCTGTCTGACTTATGTCAAAACTAAATTGTCAGCACAGTAAAGCAGTGCGCATGGAAAGGGAAGTTACTGTGTGCTATATTGGATAGCATTGTTTTTAAGTATAAGGATTTTTTTAGATTTTTTTTTTTAAATGGAAGTAAAAACAAAATGTGCTGGGTGCATTATGAGGATGCGTGCGGTGCCTGAGAACCAAGACTAGAATTTTTATTGGCCCAACACTGAGAAATCCAGACAACCTAAGACTACTTCTGCTTGATGAACATGCTACTCCAACCTTCCTTGTCAACTACAACAACACCTTAACTTCCCCTTCCCACTCATAAAATATAACATGTTTAAAAGTAGCTTTGATCTTTGGTAATCTCATCAACAGGATGTCGCAAAACTTTCCAGACGCAGTTAAGAATATTGTTAGCCACTCCAAATCATTTCAAAACGTTTACAGTATACTGCACAAGGCAAGAGAACAGAAAACTAATTTGATTTGTTTCTTTTTCCATGTGCTCTGACAATAATCCAAGACCGGTGATGAATAAGCTTGTCCAACTTGTTAATATTAATGTCACCCATGAAGACTCGGGTAGAACAGGTCTTCAGCAACACATGCTTGCCGTAAAAGTCCACTATGCTTGTCATAAGAGGCGACTAAAGGGATCGGGTGGTCAGGCTTGCTGACTTGGTTGATGCACGTCATTGTATCCCAATTGCAATGATATCAGGATTGTCTGGTCCAGACTCGATTATTTACAGACCGCCGTCATATAGCTGGAATATTGCTGAGTGTGGCGTTACATATCACGAAACAAACATAATATTAATGTACTCGTGCATCAAGTGGCAATTGTTTGTTTGTTTGTTTGTTAAACACCGCACTCAGCAATATTCCAGCTATATGATGGCAGTCTGTAAATAATCAAGTCTGGCCCAGACAATCCAGTGATTGACATCATGAGCAACAATCCACGCAATTGGGATACGATGTCATGCATCAAGCAAGTCAGCGAGCCTGACCACCTGATCCCATTAGTCGTCTCTTACGACAAGCATAGTCGCCTAACGGCAAGCATAGATTGCTGAAGACCTATTCTACCCGGATCTTCACGGGTCTCAAGTGGCAATTACAAACCCCAGTCAACGTGGAAGACATCAAGATGCCAACAAAACTGTCCTATATACAGTGAAATGACTACCTATTATTTCCAGATGAACTCCTCAAATATTCAACACAAGTCAGTCAGACTTATGTAAAGCATATTTCTTTCAGACCCTTGCATATTTTCGTAATGCCGAAAATACTTACACTAGCCTAATAACATCCAATAGAAGAATTTCCTATAAAACATCTCAATATCATTTATCCCTACCAAACATCATGTCCAAGAATAGACAAACACAAATAGAGTACCAGTATTCAAACGTATTGTAACCATGGTAACAGCTACAATTTTTACATTGTTGGGATATTTATCAATTCAATATCAGAAAAAGACCCCACATTAACGTTTTCCATAAAATTAAAAAATGAACATGTTGCTTACAGAATCCACGCACAGTCTAAAAGAATTACCTCAATTATTCAAAAACCGTCTTCCAGAGAAGAACCCTCAGTCTAGTGGAGAATACACATGCTGATGATGACTGAGCAGATATCAGAGTCCAATCGGCATACATTGTGCTCTCACTATAAAGCTCATACCCTCTACCACTGTCAGCATTCTTCAGCACAAATAAATAACAAAATTTAGCTCAACACATGGCGGTCGTTTCAGACAGAAGTCCAAGGGTACAAGTGTAATATGATAAAGAACACAGTTCTGGTGAGACACAGCTAAGTCGTTTTTATTACTTGGGTTTTCAGACCCATGGACACAACGCTTTAATGTGTAGAACTTCAGTTTAATTCATCTCGTTCCCTCATTCAAACATGTCGTGCTGACTGCCATGATCACGGAACAAATACCATTCCTCATCAGTGGGTCTCACGAGGCTTCTATCGCTTCAAATGAAGTGTAAAAAAAACTTTTTTCATTTCAACGAGGGAATTTTTACCCAATAATATTTTGCATTATTTTTGTATTTCAACCACTAATGTTAAATACAATTACATCAAGTCCCAGACTTGTGTCACAGTCAGGTGGATTGTGTCACAGTCAGGTGGATTGTGTCACAGTCAGGTGGATTGTGTCACAGTCAGGTGGATTGTGTCACAGTCAGGTGGATTGTGTCACAGTCAGGTGGATTGTGTCAGTCACATGGATCATGTCAGTCTCATGGATTGTGTTACAGTCACATGGATTGTGTCACAGTCAGGTGGATTGTGTCACAGTCACGTGGATTGTGTCAGTCATATGGATCATGTCAGTCTCATGGATCGTGTTACAGTCACATGGATTGTGTCACAGTCACTTTGATTGTGTCACAGTCACATGGATTGTGTCATAGGCACCTAGATTGTGTCACAGTCACATGGATTGTCACAGTCACATGGATTGTGTCACAGTCACATGGATTGTGTCGCAGTCAGGTGGATTGTGTCACAGTCACGTGGATTGTGTCAGTCATATGGATCATGTCAGTCTCATGGATCGTGTTACAGTCACATGGATTGTGTCACAGTCACTTTGATTGTGTCACAGTCACGTGGATTGTGTCATAGGCACCTAGATTGTGTCACAGTCACATGGATTGTGTCACAGTCACATGGATTGTGTCACAGTCACGTGGATTGTGTCATAGGCACCTAGATTGTGTCACAGTCACATGGATTGTGTCACAGTCACATGGATTGTGTCACAGTCACGTGGATTGTGTCATAGGCACCTAGATTGTGTCACAGTCACATGGATTGTGTCACAGTCACATGGATTGTGTCACAGTCATATGGATTGTGTCACAGTCACCTGGATTGACCACCCGATCCCGTTAGTTGCCTCTCAAGACAAGCATAGTCAGCAAATGGAAATAAAAACAAAATGTGCAGCAAACTCTATGATGATGCGGGCGGTGCCTGAGAACCAAGACTATTATTTTTTTTAGCCTTATAAGGACTAGTGGACTTGACCCGTGAAGATACTGGGGTAGAATAGGTCTTCAGCAACCCATGCTTGCCCTAAAAGGTGACTATGCTTGTCATAAGAGGCGACTAACGGGATCGGGTGGTCAGGCTCGCTGACTTGGTTGATGCATGTCATAGATCTCAATTGCGTGGATCGATGCTCATGATATTAATCACTGGATTGTCTGGTCCAGACTCGATTATTTACACACCGCCGTCATATAGCTGGAATATTGCTGAGTGCGGCGTTAAACAACAAACCAACCAACCAACCAACTAGTGGACTTAAGTCGTTAGTTTCTATCACTGCTTATTTTTTCTTAGTAATTTATCATTTAACACAAGTGGAAAATCATGCTCATATTTTCATCCAAACAACGATATCTAAACAAGGTCAACTTACTGAATCAAAGCAGCTTCTTGCCGCAGTCTCGTTGTAGCCGAATGATGGCCCCTCAAACACAGCCGTCGGCAACATAAGCAGGTCCGCCAGGTAATCTTCAAACCTTGCCCACACCAAATACCCACTTGTGTCAGATATCTGGGTAAAAATGTCTGAAAAGCATAACAGAATCAACATAGAAATTGAGTACATAATGGTTTTGTTGTGAAACATTGTTCATTCAAATTCCATATACACGATCATCGTTCCAGGTAATGTAACGCTCTGGTCCGACATGATCTGTGAGGTGAGGTGAAATTGGGTTTAACGTGGCGTCCAAGATTATTAATAGAATAAAATAAATATTAACGATTATCAGTATGAAATTATTGTCTTCAATAATAACTAACATAACTATTGTGATGAAAAAAGTTTAGATTTACCGAAACAGACTTGTTATTATGAATATGTCAATAATATGTCATAATTATGTCATAATGTCAATTGTCGAAGATTGTTATATCTCAAATGTCCACAAAGTAATCTATGCATGAATGTGTCACTGCTCACCAGAGCCGTGATGTTGATTGCATTCAGGACTTTCTTGCTTAGAGGTACTTCACCGATATTTATCGCTAATTGATGATACTAAGTTACCGATTATCAATCTCAATATATATCGATAGCCAGTCCCAAAATGGAATATGTCTTACCTAAGATCACAATAACGCCACGTTAAAAATCTCAATAAAAATCTCAATATATATCAATAGCCAGTCCTAATATATAATATGTCTTACCTTAGATCACATTAACGCCACGTTAAAAAAATTAATCTTCAAGAATTTTGTTCTAAGTTGCCGATTATCAATCTCAATATATATCGATAGCCAGTCCTAATATGTTAAGAATTTTGTTCAGTTGAAACACAATAAAACACAACACAAATCCTATTTGACAAGTAAAACTATAGCAGAGTGACTGACTAAAGTATATGTGACATACGTACATCTTAGCTTGTCCATGAACTTTCCAGCACACATGTGGGAGAGAGCAACCTTGATAGTGAACGCTCGGGTCTTTCCTGTGTTTTCCCTGGAAATACAACATAACAAATTATCCAGTGACGAGGACCCAATTAAAGGCAATCAGTGCTCCCGTCAGTATGTTGAATATGAACCTGTCTGCGATGCAGATGTAATTTTTCTTCTATGATAAATACTTCGGATTGTTAATGCACGCAGTGCAAATGATCTACATGCAATTTCCAGTTTTATCAAAAAACAAAACGTTTTCACATCAATAATACTTAAGGATATCATTTTCAATTCATTTTAAAATGTGCATACCAAATTAATCTAATCTAATACCATAAAATATCATAAACAGAAAACAGCTGACAGGGAATAGCAGTGGCCTGGGGAGTTTGTTGAATCACTAGGAGACATTGTTAGTTCTGGTGTTTTAAGTCGACGTACATGATGTCACACTAGGTCAGCAGAAAAAAATAATCAGCAAGTCATGAACATGGTTTCTTTAAAAACTAAAGTCTTTGCACATCACAATTAATACTATAAAATCACAAAACAGTGCCGAGTAATGAATTTCTGGACCAGAATTTTCATGTAAATATGTGAGGTGGGTGTTGGAAAATCCAAAATGGCCGTTACTGACGGTATACGGTCTCATATTAGGTCAGTAACAACAACTTGATTTTTACTGACGCTAAAAGGGCTCATGTGGGGTTAGTAGTTCTGCTGACTGATTGATCAGTCTCACTTTGAGGCATAATAATGCCAAATACATGGTTCCGGCCAAGGAAGCGATTCATTGTTGGGCATCATTCCATGTTAAAATAGATATTTCTAAAAATACTTGTTCTCTGAGAGTTGCGTATTACCTCAGTCCCCTAGTAAAGAAGTGAGAAATGTACTTTTTAGGCCTCATAAATGTTTATTAGTTCGTTTTTTAAGACAGACCAACAAAAAATAACTGAAAAGGAAAAGGAAAAGGAATAAAATGACGTAGGACCAAATAAATTTGGCGGACTCTCGTCTTACAATTAGTTGAAATGAATGAGTGAGTGAGTTTGGATTAACACCACTTTTAACAGGAATCAATTTGTATCACAGCATCTTTATAAGAAATGGTCTAACAAAACAAACCAATCAATTATTTTTAGGCATCTTGCTATATTAAAACTTGTTAATTTTTCATTCATTAGGCTTGAAAAAAAAAAAGAATTGATTTTTTGTTGTTGCTTGTTTTAACCAAATAAACAGTTGTGTACCATCAACCTGGGAAAGGGCCTCCCTATATAAACAAGCATACAAACTCCTATTGCTGCCATGACCATAACATGAGATGTGCAGTAAAGCAGTGCACATGTAAAGGGGGGTAACTGCGTGCTATATTGGATCACATTGCTTTTTAAGTATCAGGATTTATTATTTTTTTGAAAAATGGAAATAAAAACAAAACATATGGCTGACTTTATGATGATGCGGGTGGTGCCTGAGAACCAAGACTATTATTTTTTTTAGCCTTAGCAGGAGTACTAATCTTGAAGTTTAGGCCAAAATATATGCAAGTCAACCAATAAAAAACTATATTTGTTGTAAGAGGCGAAGAACGGGATCGGGTGGTCAGGCTCGCTGACTTGGTTGATGCATGTCATCAATCCCAATTGCATGGACCGATGCTCATGATATCAATCACTGGATTGTCTGGTCCAGATTAGATTATTTACAGACCGCCGTCATATAGCTGGAATATGGCTGAGTGTGGCGTAAAACAACAAACAAACCAAACTTCAGTCTGAATGATAACCTCTATAACATTACAAACAAAATAATCATGTCATTTTCAATTTTAGCCAGCTGCATAAAACTTGTCATTTTTTGTTAATGATAAACATACACCAATTTATTTAATATTTTGCATCACTAAAATTCATATTGATCATAATTTCTGCTGCTGAGAAGAAAATGGTGAAGGAAATTTCCTTTGGAATAATGAAATACTATCTTATTTGATATTCTTATATCTAAGAATGGGAATTTACTTTAGATCTCTCTTATCACCATCATTACGACATAATTATCTTGACATAATTATATCACAGTCATTGTCCATTATTCTGTAAACACTTCACTGTCAGACACTTTCGCCCTATTATCCCCAACACAAGTCTGTCTCGCTGTATAACGACTGTATTGCCATCAACTATACTTCACTCAGTAGCAACAATGGACATTTAAGTGACCAAGGCCATACAGGGTGCGACCAGATCAGTTCATCAATACCACAACAGATCTGGCCGACCTTGGCTCACGAGACTTGGCCCATCACGGTGGGTATGTAATTAGTTACCGACCCAGGGGCCAGGGATACGACACTGACGGCCAGGAGAGTCTGTGTCTGAAGGGTTGGTCTGTATTCAATAAACACCATACATTTCATGTCTGCTTGAGTCAGTGAGCGAATGTTGTTTTATGCCACTGTCAGCAATATTCCAACTTTGTCATGGCTGGGTGTAGATTATTGAGTCTTGGAAAGGTTAACAAGTGGCTGACGGTATCTACTTTCAGGGTACAAAAACACACAATAAACCAGGTCACAGGAACACAGAAGCTTCGGACTGCCTCCGTGGTCTAATGGTAGAGGGTCCGCCCGGAGAGCGGAAGGTCTGGGGTTCGATCCTCAGCCGTGTCATACCAAAAGATGTTAAAGATGGTACTTGTTGTTACCCTGTCTGGCGCTCGGCATAAAGGGGCTAAAACAAGGACTGGTCAGCTCAAGTCAGTATACTGTGTCTGAGTGGGGTATTCATGTTAAACTGCGGCATGGTATCTCAGTGAGCTAGCACTATAAATCAGTATCAGTCCGGACTAGTACAAGCAGCCACACACACATACACGTGCATGCACATCGCTATATAAGTGCAATAATCTTGGACACGACGTCATAAGAAAGTCTGTACTAACCTATCTATGAAATACTTGTCGTAAGAAAGTCTGTACTAACCTATCTATGAAATTCTTGTCGTAAGAAAGTATGTACTAAGCTATCTATGAAATACTTGTCATAAGAAAGTATGTACTAACCTATCTATGAAATACTTGTCATAAGAAAGTCTGTACTAACCTTTCTATGAAGTTCTTGTCATAAGACAGTCTGTACTAACCTATCTATGAAGTTCTTGTCATAAGACAGTCTGTACTAACCAATCTATGAAATACTTGTCATGAGACAGTCTGTACTAACCTATCTATGAAATACTTGTCGTAAGAAAGTCTGTACTAACCTATCTATGAAATACTTGTCGTAAGAAAGTCTGTACTAACCTATCTATGAAATACTTGTCGTATGAAAGTCTGTACTAACCTATCTATGAAATACTTGTCATAAGACAGTCTGTACTAACCTATCTATGAAATACTTGTCGTATGAAAGTCTGTACTAACCTATCTATGAAATACTTGTCATAAGACAGTATGTACTAACCTATCTATGAAATACTTGTTGTATGAAAGTCTGTACTAACCTATCTATGAAATACTTGTGGTATGAAAGTATGTACTAACCTATCTATGAAATACTTGTCGTAAGAAAGTCTGTACTAACCTATCTATGAAATACTTGTCGTATGAAAGTCTGTACTAACCTATCTATGACATACTTGTTGTATGAAAGTCTGTACTAACCAATCTATGAAATACTTGCCGTAAGACAGTCTGTACTAACCTATCTATGAAGTTCTTGTCATAAGACAGTCTGTACTAACCTATCTATGAAATACTTGTTGTATGAAAGTCTGTACTAACCTATCTATGAAATACTTGTCCTAAGAAAGTCTGTGCTAACCTATCTATGAAATACTTGTCATAAGAAAGTATGTACTAACCTATCTATGAAATACTTGTCATAAGAAAGTATGTACTAACCTATCTATGAAATACTTGTCGTAGGAAAGTATGTACTAACCTATCTATGAAATACTTGTCGTAAGAAAGTCTGTACTAACCTATCTATGAAGTTCTTGTCATAAGACAGTCTGTACTAACCTATCTATGAAATACTTGTCCTAAGAAAGTCTGTGCTAACCTATCTATGAAATACTTGTCATAAGAAAGTATGTACTAACCTATCTATGAAATACTTGTCATAAGAAAGTCTGTACTAACCTATCTATGAAATACTTGTCATAAGAAAGTCTGTACTGACCTATCTATGAAATACTTGTCATAAGAAAGTATGTACTAACCTTTCTATCAAAATACTTGTCGTATGAAAGTCTGTACTAACCTATCTATGAAATACTTGTCATAAGAAAGTCTGTACTAACCTATCTATGAAATACTTGTCGTATGAAAGTCTGTACTAACCAATCTATGAAATACTTGTCATAAGACAGTCTGTACTAACCTATCTATGAAATACTTGTCGTATGAAAGTCTGTACTAACCTATCTATGAAATACTTGTCATAAGAAAGTATGTACTAACCTATCTATGAAATACTTGTCGTAAGAAAGTCTGTACTAACCTATCTATGAAATACTTGTCATAAGACAGTCTGTACTAACCTATCTATGAAATACTTGTCGTATGAAAGTCTGTACTAACCTATCTATGAAATACTTGTCATAAGAAAGTCTGTACTAACCTATCTATGAAATACTTGTCGTAAGAAAGTCTGTACTAACCTATCTATGAAATACTTGCCGTAAGACAGTCTGTACTAACCTATCTATGAAATACTTGTCATAAGAAAGTATGTACTAACCTATCTATGAAATACTTGTCCTAAGAAAGTCTGTACTAACCTATCTATGAAGTTCTTGTCATAAGACAGTCTGTACTAACCTATCTATGAAATACTTGTCCTAAGAAAGTCTGTACTAACCTATCTATGAAATACTTGTCATAAGACAGTCTGTACTAACCTATCTATGAAATACTTGTTGTATGAAAGTCTGTACTAACCTATCTATGAAATACTTGTCATAAGAAAGTATGTACTAACCTATCTATGAACTACTTGTCATAAGAAAGTATGTACTAACCTATCTATGAAATACTTGTCGTAGGAAAGTATGTACTAACCTATCTATGAAATACTTGTCGTAAGAAAGTCTGTACTAACCTATCTATGAAGTTCTTGTCATAAGACAGTCTGTACTAACCTATCTATGAAATACTTGTCCTAAGAAAGTCTGTGCTAACCTATCTATGAAATACTTGTCATAAGAAAGTATGTACTAACCTTTCTATGAAATACTTGTCATAAGAAAGTCTGTACTAACCTATCTATGAAATACTTGTCATAAGAAAGTCTGTACTGACCTATCTATGAAATACTTGTCATAAGAAAGTATGTACTAACCTTTCTATGAAATACTTGTCGTATGAAAGTCTGTACTAACCAATCTATGAAATACTTGTCATAAGAAAGTCTGTACTAACCTATCTATGAAATACTTGTCGTATGAAAGTCTGTACTAACCAATCTATGAAATACTTGTCATAAGACAGTCTGTACTAACCTATCTATGAAATACTTGTCGTATGAAAGTCTGTACTAACCTATCTATGAAATACTTGTCATAAGAAAGTATGTACTAACCTATCTATGAAATACTTGTCGTAAGAAAGTCTGTACTAACCTATCTATGAAATACTTGTCATAAGACAGTCTGTACTAACCTATCTATGAAATACTTGTCGTATGAAAGTCTGTACTAACCTATCTATGAAATACTTGTCATAAGAAAGTCTGTACTAACCTATCTATGAAATACTTGTCGTATGAAAGTCTGTACTAACCTATCTATGAAATACTTGCCGTAAGACAGTCTGTACTAACCTATCTATGAAATACTTGTCATAAGAAAGTATGTACTAACCTATCTATGAAATACTTGTCGTAGGAAAGTATGTACTAACCTATCTATGAAGTTCTTGTCATAAGACAGTCTGTACTAACCTATCTATGAAATACTTGTCCTAAGAAAGTCTGTACTAACCTATCTATGAAATACTTGTCCTATGAAAGTCTGTGCTAACCTATCTATGAAATACTTGTCCTATGAAAGTCTGTACTAACCAATCTATGAAATACTTGTCATAAGAAAGTCTGTACTAACCTATCTATGAAATACTTGTCGTATGAAAGTCTGAACTAACCTATCTATGAAATACTTGTCATAAGAAAGTCTGTACTAACCTATCTATGAAATACTTGTCGTAAGAAAGTCCGTACTAACCTATCTATGAAATACTTGTCGTATGAAAGTCTGTACTAACCTATCTATGAAATACTTGCCGTAAGACAGTCTGTACTAACCTATCTATGAAATACTTGTCATAAGAAAGTATGTACTAACCTATCTATGAAATACTTGTCGTAGGAAAGTATGTACTAACCAATCTATGAAATTCTTGTCATAAGAAAGTATGTACTAACCTATCTATGAAATACTTGTCGTAGGAAAGTATGTACTAACCAATCTATGAAATACTTGTCATAAGAAAGTCTGTACTAACCTATCTATGAAATACTTGTCATAAGAAAGTCTGTACTAACCAATCTATGAAATACTTGTCATAAGAAAGTCTGTACTAACCAATCTATGAAATATTTGTCATAAGAAAGTCTGTACTAACCTATCTATGAAATACTTGTCGTTAGAAAGTCTGTACTAACCTATCTATGAAATACTTGTCGTATGAAAGTCTGTACTAACCAATCTATGAAATACTTGTCATAAGAAAGTCTGTACTAACCAATCTATGAAATACTTGTCATAAGAAAGTCTGTACTAACCTATCTATGAGATACTTGTCGTAAGAAAGTCTGTACTAACCTATCTATGAAATACTTGTCATAAGAAAGTATGTACTAACCAATCTATGAAATATTTGTCATAAGAAAGTCTGTACTAACCTATCTATGAGATACTTGTCGTTAGAAAGTCTGTACTAACCTATCTATGAAATACTTGTCGTATGAAAGTCTGTACTAACCAATCTATGAAATACTTGTCATAAGACAGTCTGTACTAACCTATCTATGAAATACTTGTCGTAAGAAAGTCTGTACTAACCAATCTATGAAGTACGTATTTGTTGTGAGAAGTCAGGACCAATGGTGTACTCACTTGTTGTAAGAAGGTCTGTCCAACCTATCGATGAAGTACTTACTTGTCGTAGGCTGCAATCAGCCAGTTAAGTAGCAGGTTCACCGATTGTTCAACCACTATCTGTTGGTTCTGGGGCAGCCTCTTGTTGAGTTGTGTGAAGACTGTTGTCAATAGCGACTCAAGGCGGGATGTACTCAGCTCAAAATGGGCGTCGACCATGTTGAGGCCATTTTCCCGGAATGCTTCAATCATGTTCCAGATGTCCACAAGGTGCACTGGAAACACAACACTGTGGACTCACTCACTCTTAACCCACATGTTAACTCACTCACTCTAAACCCACACATCTACTCACTCACTCTAAACCCACACATCAACTCACTCACTCACTCTAAACCCAAATGTCCACTCACTCTAAACCGAAATGTCCACTCACTCACTCTAAACCCACACATCCACTCACTCACTCACTCTAAACCCAAATGTCCACTCACTCTAAACCCAAATGTCCACTCACTCACTCTAAACCCACACATCCACTCACTCACTCACACTAAACCCAAATGTCCACTCACTCTAAACCCAAATGTCCACTCACTCACTCTAAACCCAAATGTCCACTCACTCACTCTAAACCCACACATCTACTCACTCTAAACCCAAATGTCCACTCACGCACTGTAAACCCACACATCTACTCACTCTAAACCCAAATGTCCACTCACTCACTCTAAACCCAAATGTCCACTCACGCACTCTAAACCCACACATCTACTCACTCTTAACCCAAATGTCCACTCACTCACTCTAAACCCAAATGTCCACTCACTCATTCTAAACCAAAATGTCCACTCACTCACTCTAAACCCACACATCTATTCACTCTAAACCCAAATGTCCACTCACTCACTCTAAACCCACACATCTATTCACTCTAAACCCAAATGTCCACTCACGCACTCTAAACCCAAATGTCCACTCACTCACTCTATACCCAAATGTCCACTCACTCACTCTAAACCCACACATCTATTCACTCTAAACCCAAATGTCCACTCACTCACTCTAAACCCACACATCTATTCACTCTAAACCCAAATGTCCACTCACGCACTCTAAACCCAAATGTCCACTCACTCACTCTATACCCAAATGTCCACTCACTCACTCTAAACCCACACATCTACTCACTCTAAACCCAAATGTCCACTCACTCACTCTAAACCCACACATCTATTCACTCTAAACCCAAATGTCCACTCACTCACTCTTAACCCAAATGTCCACTCACTCACTCTAAACCCACACATCTACTCCCTCTAAACCCAAATGTCCACTCACTCACTCTAAACCCGAATGTCCACTCACTCACTCTATCCCAAATATCCACTCACTCACTCTCAACCCACATGTCCACTCACTCTAGACCCACACATCTACTGACTCACTCACTCATTCACTCTAGACCCACACATCTACTCATCCACTCACTCACTCTAGACCAACACATCTACTCACCCACTCACTCATTCACTCTACACCCACACATCTACCCACCCACTCACTCATTCACTCTAGACCCACACATCTACTCACCCACTCACTCATTCACTCTACACCCACACATCTACTCACCCACTCACTGACTCTAGATCCACACATCTACTCACCCACTAACTCATTCACTCATCTACTCAGTCACTATAGACCCACACATCTACCCACTTTCTCACTCTCGACCCACATGTCTACTCACCCACTCACTCATTCACTCTACACCCACACATCTACTCATCCACTCACTCACTCACTCCAGACCCACATGTATACTCACTCACTCACTCTCGACCCACACATCAACTCACTCACTCACTCTCGACCCACACATCTAGTCACTCACTCACTCACTCTCGACCCACACATCCACTCACTACACCAGCTACAACGCAGCAAGGAAACAAACATCAAACAAAACTTCCCACACATGAACAACTCAACGTTCTCTCAACTAACGGCCACTTCTATTTCACTGCACATATTTTTTGTACTGTTATTCAACACTGTCATTAAATTGAAAACTGCAGTGCGAGAAATTACAGAAGATTGCGGAGTAATGAGTTAAACTGTTTCCACTCACGGCTTGTCTTCTTCTGCACAAAGCGCAGCTTGCATGCCGTCCTGTAGGTGGCAAACCGGATCACGTCATAGTTCTGAGCCCCTGAAGTGAAATAGTTCCAAGGTATGTACTTCATACTCTACAGTTCCACCAACATGCCATCAACGTTAAAACTTGAAACCGTAAATTAACTCCAGCACACACACAATCGACACTTGTCATTTCGAATGTGATTACCATATTTCTTCAATTAGAAGCCCGGGCGCCTTAATTTTGTGCAAGCCGTTGACCCAGCACCTATCTTTAAAGCTGGCATAGCGGCAACTCACTGCCTTACTGAATCCCAAATTCTTGCCATACAAAGGTACAGGAAAACAGTCATTATTGAATGAAGGGAGCAATCATTACATGCCATTAGTTAATGTTTGTTTGTTTGTTGTTTAATGCCGCACTCAGCAATATTCCAGCTATATGATGGCAGTCTGTAAATAAGACCAGACAATCCACTGATTGACATCATGAGCATCGATCCACGCAATTGGGATCGATGACATGAATCAACCAAGTCACCAAGCCTGACCACCCGATTGCGTTAGTCGCCTCTTACAACAAGCAGAATCGCCTTTTAAGGCAAGCATGGGTTGCTGAAGACCTATTTTAACCCGGATCTTCACGGGTACCATCAGTTACTGTGATAGTGGTAATTAATTTCATAAAATGATGGACCCAGCATGTATTAGAGTCCAGACTTCAATTTTGGGGACAGAGCGTACGACCATTTGTGACCAACTCGTGTTATTCAACCGTATAGCGACTTGTGGCCCTCTCATGGCCATTTTTGCAACCGGGTTCTGTCTTAGCGCAAACGGGCATACCTAAAACAATTGTCAACGCGTTGCGTTATGGTTCACATATATTATATATATTTCAGATGCAATTTAAAGCACATCAGGACATGCGGAATTATACAGTATGATTGAACACATTTCACTGTGTCTTGGGTATATTTTTAGATGCAAGACACATGTAAAATCAAAAATTATTCCTGAGGGATTCTTTGGCAAGAACTTAAAGTCATATGTGCACTCTGATTGGTTTGTCATATTTTTGCACATAACATTCATCGACAGGGGGATGAGTCTTCTTGCAGGTTACGGAAAGGGGCGAGCGGTGACGAATGAGCGATGACCTGGCATCAATTAGAGGCCAAGCATGTATTGACGGCTGGCTAGAAGGCTAGCTCTCCGTCCTGGTGCTGACAGTCTACTAAGTGCTAACAGGGCCTTACAGTGGAGCAAGCATCCTCTCTACAACTAGCATTACTTATTCTGTTAGCAGTCAACATGCTCAGAAACAAAGGATTCAATTCTGGTCGGTTGATTCTATGAATTAATTCTGTCAACTTGAGGTACAAAAGTTGTAAATTAATCATGGTAACTTTGTTGAATCTAGGTACAACATCTATCAATTATTCATGTTGAATTCAAGTGCAGCATCTTAGAATTAACTCTGTTGATTCTACTCTATGAAATGTTTTTGTTTACTTAAGTACATCTTGAATTAATTCAGTTGACTCAAGTTGGCTCTGTGAATTAATTCAGTTGACTCTAGGCTGGCTGTGTGACTTACTCATGTCTGTGAGTAGTTGTCGCTGCTGCAGCACGGCCTTGGCGGAGGAGCTGGGAACTAGGTCCTGCATGTTGTCGTCATCATTCACCACCAGGTAGCCTGCAACAACAAAGTTTTGATTGTAACCTTTAGACACATCCTTCACATGTATCTTTATATGTTTCATTTTGATGTATCCTTAAGATGCATCCTTTAGACATATCCTTTATAAGCATCTTTAAATGTATCCTTCAGACATATCCATTAAATGTATCCTTTAGACATATCCTTTAGACATATCCATTAGATGTATCCTTTAGACATATCCTTTATATGCATCTTTAAATGTATCCTTCAGACATATCCATTAAATGTATCTTTCAGACATATCCATTAGATGTATCCTTTAGACATATCCTTTACCTGAATCTTTAAATGTTTCATTTGATGTATCCTTCACACATATCTTTTACATGTATCCTCAAGATGCATCCTTTAGACATATCCTTTAGATGCAACTTTAAATGCATCCTTTTGAAGCATCTTCACACATATCCTTTAGACATATCCTTTAGATGCATCTTTAAATGAATCCTTTAGATGAATCCTTTACATGAATCTTTAAATGTTTCTTTTTTATGTATCCTTCACACTTATCCTTTAGCCATATCCTTTATATGTATCTTTAAATGTATCTTTTAGATGTCCTGCAGACCACAGATGCTGACCAGTTCGTCAGACTCCTGATCAACACCATCTGATCCTCGCAATGACCGCCCATTTCTACAGGATATTAATACTGACAGGGGTGTCCCACTCCTGTCATAACAGGACAGAGAGGTTGGTCACCACGTCAGTCTCCTCCAGGGGAAATGTCAGTGTCAGCCCTTCCGGCCGCAAGGAACAATTTCCCACAATCTTCAAGCTTTACCGACACAAAGGCAGTGTCTAGTAGATTGCTTCTGCTATATCAAGCTCTTAGTCAAAGGTTATTTCAAAGGAGACTGACCACACGGTATGACTTGGGGACTTCACAAATGGCCCATAATAATAGCTGTTCGATATGAACACTATATAATTACTTTAAAATAGTGCCGAGGTATGGTCAGCCACATAAGCCGTGACCTGATAGCACTGGAACACTGGATGGAGTGACTGCCAGATTGGGAGTGACAATGTAGTGATGTGAAACGGGGATTAAACAAGACTACAGCACTGATATTGGTTACTAAAGTTCCCTCTTAAACTATGGCCACAGATATTTTACTTTTCATTTCACGGGCCTTCCGCCCCTGCCGCCCCTACTAAAAAGCAGCCGGTCTAAGAAATAAATTAAACATTATTTATTTTTATTATGTCTCCCGCTACTAATATAGAGCCTCTTATACAATATCAAATGTTCTATATAATTAAGTTCCATGAATACATGATGGGACTATCTGGGATTCAAGATGCCACCTGCAACTCCTCAGCAATAAATAAATAAATAAATAAATAAATAAATAAATAAATAAATAAATAAATAAATAAATAAATAAATAAATAAATAAATAAATAAATAAATAAATAAATAAATAAATAAATAAATAAATAAATAAATAAATAAATAAATAAATAAATAAATAAATAAATAAATAAATAAATGACATTTGTTTTTATTTTATTTCAACCGACCTTGAGTGGAAAAGCTGGAAAAAATCTGTGAAAAATAAAAAAAGTGTCTCCTATAGTAACATGTAAGAATCGGGAGTTCCTTAACTTATTTTGAGTAGTATATATGGATTGTCTATTTAGAGATGCTAAAATAAAAGCATGTTTATCATTTTCATCCACATCTGCTTTCCATTAAGTTTGAGATAATGAATATACTTCATCACCAAGTCCCCTGCTTTGTAATGTACTGATACGTTAAGAGAGAACCAGTCCCTTCAATGAAGCGTCATGGCCATCTTGATCACTTAATCAGCTGGAATGGATGAGGACAAGACAATATTTTATAAGCACTATCACAGTTGTACCGCGCTCTGTGTGGCGCCTGCTGGCACCATATCATTTGATCTCCTCCAGTAAGTCTACGTGGGAAATCATTCCGCAAGGCAATAAATGCCAATGTTTGAGACTTTGGCACATTGTGAAGTATAAAAGATAAAGTTACGAGGTTCTCGTTACCATAGTGATGTAAACATGTTTGGACAATACAAGCAATTTGATGTATTCCAAGTCAAGATATGAAAGATATATTACTTTATATCCTAGCAGAATTTGGCATTCCTTTTCATTCCCAAAACAATGCATTCAGAACTACAACATCCAGGCAAAGCCTAACTAGCCAACAATCTACCTTGGACATATTTCTGTAACATCACATCGCTGCTGGATGTAAGAACTGGTTTAGTGGACCCGTGAAGATCCGGGGTAGAATAGGTCTTCAGCAACCCACGCTTGCCGTAAAAGGCGACTATGCTTGTTGTAAAAGGCGAATACCGGGATCGGGTGGTCAGGCTCGCTGACTTGGTTGATGCATGTCAGCAACCCATGCTTGCTGTAAATGTCGACTATGCTTGTCGTAAGAGGCGACTAACAGGATCAGGTGGTCAGGCCTCGCTGACTTAGTTGATGCATGTCATTGTATCCCAATTGCATGGATTGATGCTCATGATATCAATCACTGGATTATTTACAGGCCGCCCTCATACAGCTGGAATATTGCTGAATGCGGCGTTAAACAGCAAACATTGTCTGCTGGTATCATATGCAACCCCTCAGCATAACTGAATTTTATGGGGAAAAGGTTTGTTATAAGATGCAGACTATTTTACCTTGCAGTGTACCAAAACCGTTTGAGACCTGTAAGTCCAGTCAGTTTTCCTTTGGGTCAAAGTAACTGTCAATTATTAATCTAGCTTTTGGGGAACCAGTATCTTACAACCATGTAATGTGTAGTCTCTGAAAGACGGCCATCAGGTGGGTGTTTCTTCATTTCTTCATTTACAGTTCAACCCCAATTTCACAAATATAAAACTAAAATTTGAGAATATTTTCTGCAGAATCTGTTAAAGAAAATTTTGGTAACTAAAAATACCTTTAATTTATAGATCCGACAACTGACAACTCTTTAACAAAACAACTTTTAAAATTTTAATTTTATTTATTTTGATTTTGACTAATGCTACAGTCTGAACAGGTAAAAAAATTGTTAAGATGGTCATACAAAAAAAAAGTCCTGAACAGTGAAAACATCAATGACCATTTTTTGGGTGAAATTTCAGAAATAATCTTCAGACAAGAAGCTGACAAATTGTCAGGCATCTTAAGTCTCTATGGAGGAACTTAAAAAATCAGTGATGATATATAGCGGCCACTGAGTGCTAATGTCAGCTGTTCAAGTGACAATGTACATCGACATGAGTGACAAGCAAGGCAAGTACAGGCAGATCTGGATAATATACAGCTGTCTTGAGAGGCAAATAAAGGATAAGGGCTGTCTTAAAGTCTAAGTTTCAGCTTTGGTTGTCTGTCCTAATACAGTGAAGCCTGTAGTTGATCATTCTCATTAAAATCAGATCTTAGTCCTCGCTGTCGCTAAACAAAGATCTGAGGACATCCCATTACGGGTCACGTCAGAACGACCTTTCATCCGACCAATCAGAGCGTCGCTTACCAGATCGTGAAAGCAACAGTCGGAATGTGTTTTCTGATCATACAACCTCGAAAACGTTAACACGGGGTATTCCGAACGACAGTTACGGTCCGTATGACTGATTCCGTCAAAATTATCGTCTATTTTCGCTTCCGTGGGATAAACACTTGAACAGAAGAGGCGTTGCACAGTACGTGGAAAGCACTGCCATACAATCTCAACCATATAAGAGACCTTCCGGAATGTTGGTTTGTTCATTTTTCAAAATTTTAATCGAGAACTGTGTCGACATATTTTTCAAGCGTAGTCTGAAATGGAAGTCGCCAGGTTGAAATGTGTGCCGTATAGCTCGAGAAAGCTGCTTTCTAATTGGCTGATGTCGACTTCTTGTTAGTCATTTCAGTGGTCGGTCAAAGTTCGCGAAAGGTCGTTCTGAAGTGACCCGTAATGGGATGTCCTCAGATCTTTGTTTAGCGGCAGCGAGAACTTAGATCTGGTTTTAATGAGATTGGTAGTTGATATACTGTAAATCTTGAAATTAACACGAGCAGGAATTAAATGGGAAAAATGTGAGTGGTCTTTGTTTGCATTTAGAGACCTCGCATTTATGTCTCCAAAATGACTACCAACAATAAGACAGCTTCACGGCACACTTTGAAAAGCGGAAATACCAACTTGAATATGTACACGTTTTTTTTAGCAGCAGTTGTAACGAGTATATAACAATGTCATTTAAAGAATAGGAATTACACAATAGGCATCCGTAGAGTTATCACTGCTGGGGTCAACAGATTTACCCACTCGTGTCAAACTTTGCATCATTGACCATTGAACTGTTGTTGGTTCAATTATTATGTTGCCTTTGAACTTCCTTAATGCCAGTCAGCAGAATAAACAAAAAAAACTGTGCCTTGTTTTTAGGAAAACACTGTTTATTGTTATTACAGAAGTGTTTTACTCAGTGCTAATAAGCAGTGCTATTTGCTGTTTGATTGGATTAAGGTAAGGATATGTATTATTCCACTGGGGATTGGGTGGATGGAGTCACATTGATTTTGAGTTGTAATTTTGGCTAGGGGTCAGCAGTCATATTAATTTGGAGACGCATTAATTTCAAGATTTATAGTACCATAATCAATAGCCTTCAGCTAAACATTACTGCTTGTAACATTTCCATCTGGGTGACGGGACTAATTTCTCACCCTACAGATCTTATTGGTCAGTACGCCGAGAGTAAACTGGGCGTGGGGGGGGGGGGGGGGGGGGACACTGGGTTAGGTTGTATTGGGAGTATGAATACCTCTAAAACAAAAAGGGTTGTCAAGAGTTGAACGTTAACAAACCTTTTTTTTGCAAATTGCATACTTTTTATCCCCAACAGATTTCCTTTTCTTTTTCCTGTGATTTCGCTAACTTAATAGAAAGCTAACAAGTGTATTATTGGGATAACACTTTCTTAGAAAAGTACAGATTCTAGCAC